CTTTCTCATTCCCTGTTGTCCTCTCACATCAAAATCCACCAACATAATTGTTTACAACTGTTTTGGACTGTTTTCACTTGTAAACGGTGCTTGATCTGTGCAAATTTCTCTCCTGATTCAGTCGAGATGACTTTTTCACTGGAGGAAGTGTTATTATGGATTATGGACTCGTATTTTGGCCAGAAGCAATGGTTTGAAGTTAAAAACGTTTTAATGATGGATTTGTTTCTTAAAAACACACAGCTTTTCACTTCACAAGACGTTAACTGATGGACTGGAGTGGTGTGGATTACTGTGATGTTTTTATCAGCGGTTTAGACTCTCATTCTGACGGCACCCATTCACTGCAGAGCATCCATTGGTGAGCGAGTGATGTAATGCTATATTTCTCCAAATCGGTTCTGATGAAGAAACAAACTCTTCTATATCTTCATTGACCTGAGGGTGAGTACATTTTCAACACATTTCAGCAAATGTCATTTTTGGGTGAACTACTCCTTTAAATACTAGTACTAAGTGATGACTGACTTACTGTAGCAAACGCCACTAATTAATTACCCATTTTTCCGCGGTGAGAAATAATGCATCTTCCTGCAATCGCTCGACCTCACTGACATGTGAAATCTCACAGCGCAATTGCTTCTGAAAAAAACTGAAGATGTTTTATTTATTATTATTATTATTATTATTATTTTATTTTTTTATTATTTTATTTAGTTCTTCTCTCTAAAGTTCTCTGATATGATGGTCCATTCTCCAAATTTGGCAAAGATGAACCCAGAAAGCCTTTACCTTTTAATTATTTCTTAAAGAGACAGAGCTAAAAAAATAAATCAATAAATCAAACACTAAATATTACTAACTAAAATAGTCTCTGATCGCTACAAAATGTGATTCACAAGCACATAAGCTAATTGACCTTCTTCTCCAGCCGTCTGGCCTTGATAATATCAGCCAGAAAGCAAGTGGTTACATTCTGATGGAAGATTGTGAAAACTAAGTTATGAATTGTGCACAATACGTCTTAGAGCATTTATTGATCTGGTAAACAGAGACAGGCTGACCCAGACGAGATACAGGGCACATACCTTGTTTAAAGACATAATTAACTGTGAGATGACAGTCGACAGTCACGATCGAGTGAGCTGTGATTTCTGTCGCCTGTGAAGCAGGAATACGTTCAACTGCAATCTTACCTTTTTTCCCTCTCCGAATACGAGTGGAAACTTCAGATCTTCCTCCTGGACTGTTTTGTAGGCCCTGCGCAAAACACCACGACAAACATCAAACAGCAGCTGAAGCTGAAGCTGAAGTGAAGAGCACTGAGACTTTACAGAGAAAGAAAGTAAAGTGAACATTGATTTGAAAATGTAAAATAGTTATAAAATTGTCTATGACAGTGTTGAACGGTCACGTACATTACTGTTCAAAAGAGTCAGTAAGTTGATTTTTGTAAGAACATTTACATTTTTATTCAACAAGCATGCATTACATTGATTAAAAGTGGCAGTTATGTCACAAAAAAATTATATTTCAAATAAATACTGTTCTTTTGAACTTTCTATTCTTCAAAGAATCCTGAAAAAATTACATTTATCCTGGTTTCCACAGAAATATGAAGCAGCGCAACTGTTTTCAACATTGATAATAATAATCATGTTTCTTAATCAGCATATTAGACTGATTTCTGAAGATCATGTGACACTGAAGACTGGAGTAATTATGCTGAAAATTCAGCTTTGTATCACAGGAATAAATTACATTTTAAAATATATGTTACATTTTAAAATTATTTGACAATTTTTCTGATTTTACTGTATTTTTGATCAAATAAATGCAGCCTTGGTGAGTCAAAGAGACTAAAAGTAGAACATTAAAATCTTACCAACCCCAAACTGTAGCATATATTGCCAAGAATGAATATTCATTTCAAATTAATTCAGTGAAACACAAAATAAGAGATTTAAATAATGTATGGTCACTCTTTTCCATACATTTCCATTCCAATAAATATGGACCAAAGCTTTAGAGTTTCAAAAGTGTTCATAAGGGATGAAGCAATGAGTGAATGAATCATTCTTTCAAGTCAGGTCTTTTCAACGAATCAATCGATCCAGCTCACAAAACCTGGAAATTTGAGTCTGTTTCTCATTCACATCTATTGTACGGATACAGAAGACTTGAAATGTAGTGCAAGCATCATATGGATAACTGTTAAGATGCTTTTGCATCCATCCAGCTTAAAAGATTGGGTCTCCATTGACTGAATGTTTTGAATTATGTGCTTCATACTTTTTTTCCATGCAATTACAGAGTAATTTGGGTTTGGAACGACACTGAGATGACTTTTAGGTGAATTATTCCTTTAATCAATTCAGACATTCGAGCAACTAAACTTGTATGATAAAATACTGTATATGATTCCTGGATGCAGCGGCACTCCCACACGATTCAACATCCCTGTCTGACAGTGCAGGTCGTGAGCTCAATTACATCCCCGAGGACTCACACACAC